CATGCTTTTCAGTGAAAACATTCACAACCTTTTCAACAGATAACGAATGGAAGCCCTCTTTATTTGTTAAAATTTATATATACAGATTCAGATTCTACCTGCCTGTCTAAATGACTTTTGCCTGCATTCCTTATTTGCTGTTAGATTTATTTTAACAAGTTAACTAGAAATAAAAGGCTTTAGAATATCTTGGCTACTGCAGCTGAAAAACAACTTCTGAACTGAAGTAAATCTGTGTCCTTTCAGTGAAATGAACAGGCCCCTTCAGTCCCAATCATCTGAGAAACAGCCCCTTTTGGGCTGTTTTCTGAAAATACTTTAATAGAATTCATTCCCACCGTAAATACAATGTCATTGTCCTGGGCTACTGGCATCGGAACAAGACTAACATACACTTTGAATTTCAAACTCTTTGTCCATTTTAATGTCTGCTTTTCTGGCAGACACAATATGCCTTTTTTTCCCCCCCCTGCAGTAAAATCACTATCTTTCTTTGCTTTGCCAATTTTCCACTTTCATTTTACTTTGTTTTGTTGGTTTCTTTGTTCTGGGGAGAGGAAGTGGTGTCACTGAAGAAGAATAGGTTTAGATTAGATATTAGGAAAAAATTCCTTAGTGTGAAGATGGTGAGGCACTGGAAGAGGCTGCCCAGAGAACTTGTGGATGCCTCATCCCTGATCGTGTTTAAGGCCAGCTAGGATGGCGCTATGAGCAACCTGGTCTGCTGGAAGGTGTCCCTGCCCATGGCAGGTGTGCTGGAACTGGATGATCTTCAAGGTCTCCATCCCAAGCCGTTCTGTGGTTACCCTTCTCTTCAGCTCGGTGTGAAGCCAAGGCACGCCAGTCAGGCGGGAGAAAAGCGATGCTGCGAGCGCCGCGGCAGCAAAATCCCACGTTTGTGTTTTCCTAAGGACCGAGGCACCGGGGCTTGTGCCTGTGCTGGGAGATCACTGCCACACCAAAGGTCTCCGGCATCGCGCTCGCTGCAAAGTGCTGCTTCTGCCCCCCCATCACGCGTTAACCTCTCGTCAGAGGGAAAGGAACAGGCAAAGTTTTCGGTGCTTCTCGCCCACTGAGCCTTGCCGATGCTACGGAAGCAGGACCGTCGCCACGGCGCTCCATAAGGCAACCACGCCTGGCACACACCCGCCGGCACGGACAAAGACATCCCGTATTTTCCGCGGAAAAATCCTCGGCACTTTTAGCGGAAGGAGGTGAGCGGGCTCCCTGTCCGCCGGTCTCTCCCGGCCCCGGCCCCGGCCCCGGCCCCGGCCCGGGGCGGCGCT